AAGCATTTGAATAGGGAAGTAGGTTTAGAAGGGGATTTGGAATGAGGAGTTACTTTGAAAATAATTGGGCTAAAATTAAGGAGACCTTATTTGGTTCTGGTCCTCATTGCTTTTATTAATCTAAATAATAAGCACTCCAAAAGAAAATGATATTTATTCAGCATGGGCACTGCAATGGTAATACACATACCATAGTAAACCATGTGCTTATTCAGGATAAAGAAAGACAAAGGTTTTTTTAAAAAATGAAGAGGAGTGCACAATTATTTTGAGATAATTATTCTTGGTTACAATGATCAATAATAAGGATGGCACTAGTTTGAAGTTAGATAGGCAGTTGTTGGGCAGATATCCTTGCAGAAGTATTTTTTTGTGTAAGGTTGCAATGGCCTTTGTGCAAGGTTGTGGTTTTGCAGTCTTTTCTGACAATTCCTGTTGTCAGGCATTCTTGCATGGGAACCCTTTCTTCATTGCTTTCCCCAGCTCTATCTGTCAGGATTTTTAACACAACTGACTCCATTTTAATTCTGACAATTTTCACATTTTTACCTAGCTCCTTGACCTTGAATGAATTCCATGATGTTCCTAGATATAATTTATAAAATTATCAAATTGCAATAAATAGTGTTAATGAGTTTATCAGTCTCATACTTTATGATTTTTATATAAATTGGTTATTTTTTGGAAAACAGACTTTTCTGATATACACAATGTACTCTCTAGGCACAAGATTAGATGGGATAGTACAATGATGTGACAGTGTAATTCCAAAAGATTAACAGGATCAAAACAATTGATAGGAAAAGAGAGGGAACTAGGGAAGAAGATACAGACCTGAGGACAATAGTGAATGGTATGGACCTCCAGACTCATCATGTAAAATTGACATTGGCAAGGGAAATGGCTTGCAACTTAGCACTGGCAACTTAGTGCTGCTTAGGTATAGAAATTGGTTATTATTTTACACTGACAAAGTTTGTTTCAGTGTTTAACTTTAGTTTCTATCTTTTGCTTCACTTTTTATTTATACATTTTTTCTTTATAATTGAAAAATTTAAAACCATAAAGTGAATAAAAAGTATAAAATAATAATATTAATTGCCCAAAATTGTTTTGACAAACTTTCAAAATTTCAGTGTTTATTTTTTCATTACTATATTGTATTATTTTTATATGATGTATATATTAATTTTTCTAAAAGCATATTCCAAGACAAGGACTTGAATGCAAATAATTTGAGATGAGCAGGGGACACAAGCATGGTGGTGGGCCTATGAAACTGGGGGTGCGTAACCGGAGTTAATCTCATGGAGAAACTTCCCACCTGAAGTTCAAGGCAGGTGGATTTAAGGCTGCTGGGGTGGGTGTTAACCTTCCAGCATTTCTGGACCATTGTCAGCGTATAGTTGGGTACAGTAGATTTCCAAGAGTGGGGCGGGCTGCTGGAGAGCCTGAGCAAAGAAATGAGAATCTTGGGGTTGAGAGTCAGCTGGAGCCCACAGAAGGGCTGGAGGGATGTGGGTGGGGCACTAACAATGTCTACTATAAAAACAGTCTTTTACTTGTAAAACTTAAACATGTTTACTACGAACCATTTAAATGTTAGAAAAGTAAAAATGACATAAATGTTTAAAAATCATCTCAAATTTTACCATTCAGTAGCCAGTCACCATTTCCTTTAGGTGAAAACCATTTCCTATTGTGTGTATGTGTGTCAATTTTTAGTGAAGTCTATTTTCTACTTTACCTTTTTATTTCTGTGATTACGTTTATATCCTTCTTTTGTTTGTTTGTTTTTTAAATCTATAACTGCCCTGATTTTTATTGTTCATCATGTTATCTTTGAGTTCTTAAATTCAAGTTCTTATTAGATTATTCTCTAAGATGACATTGTGATGAATTTTCTTATGCTTTGAAGTATGTTTTCGTCTATATTGGGATATTTATCCTTCTTTTGACATTTACATTTTTTTCTTAATTTCTTCTTCTTTCTTGCACATTTTATTTTATTTTACTGTGATATGTTTGTATATTGGCATGGTATTTCCATTCACATTGCTCATAATTGAGCAGTTCTATTCAGGCTTTTTTGTTGTTGATATCATGTGAGTACACACATGATTCTTCTTAGCATAGCTGAACCAAGTTTCTTTTGTCCTTCTAGTTACTGTTTGAAAGATACTTTGTTTTCTAAGTAAATATATAGAATGGCAAGGGTTGGCCAAGACCTCAGCTGAAGTGGTAATGCAGTCTTTATAATAATACTGTAGCTCTGCTCTCTCTTTGGAGATACTGTTACATATCCTATATTGGAAGTAAGACCATTTATTTTTGTGAGTCACATCTATGGGAGATACACTTGGGTTTCACACTACATCCTTAGTTCAGTGCATTGGCCTTACTTTTGTAGCATACTAATAAATAATTCAGCTTCTTGGCTTCAGGATAGAGGGGAAAAGGTAGTCTTTTACTTTATTATCCCTTAAATCCAAAAATGCTTAGCCACTGCTATTTTCCAAGCTACATTTTCAGATGGCAGAATACCCAAGAGTCTACTATGATAGTTACTTATAATAAAATGAGATTATTAAGATATATGGGATCTCATATATAGTGATATATGAGATTATAGTTATATGCCATTGATAACAATGCCAACAATTATGAATGAACCAGTTCTTTAAAAACAAAGCAAACAAAACAAAACTTCATGACAGGGCAAAAGAGTTGGCTATATATCCATTTTAAGGCTTTGCCTGTGTTTCTGAAATTCTGATTTAGAAATGATCTTTAGTTAGTATCCAGCCGCACTCTTGGGTGGTACTAATAAATTATATAACTATAATTTAAAACACTTCTTACAATACACAGAATTTACATATTGGAGCAGAAGTTAAACAATCTGGACATTATGATAATTTCCAGTTTATTTTAAAAAATGATTCTTAATAGGTATATTATGATCTAAAATACGTGGCTTAAAAACAGTACAATTTAAGGTGAGCCTTAAGAGTACTAACAAATTAGAAAAAAAAATCAAGTAAACTAAAGGCATCTGGATCAGTCAGAACCCATAAAGGAAAAAAAAATCACTGAAGAGTTTATTAAAAAGACAAGGGATCCAACAAGAGATCATGAAACACCCTTCCTCAGGCACTAGGAACAGTTAGACGGTTTTAACAGCTCTAAATTAAAAGAGGAAAGGAGAAAGGTTTATGGAACAAAGTAAGAGTCTTGGCCTTTTGAGGAGGCTGTCCCTTCCATGGAGGAATACGTTCACAGCCAACACTTGAACTGGAAGGGAGGGAATGAGCAGAAGAAAACTTTGATCCTTTTAGCCTCCTACTCTCCTATCTCATAGCAGTGCTTCCCATTGGACAAACCCAACAGAAACAAGAAGGCAAGGGAGACTTGGGGCCGGAGAAAGTAGAAGTCAATCTGCAAAATAACAAGGCACAGAACAGAATTGAATGGATCTGGAGGAGCAAATGGAGACCACTCAGTCCAGCAGCTTCCCCTGTCATTTTGTTTTTAAAGATCGAATTGTTTTTCCAGCTATGGAGGCAAAGTGCAGGAATGAGCTCATCATAGAAATAAAAAGCATAATTTCCTGCATTTGCATACACTTATAAAAGTCAGTTATGAAATCTTTTGTTAAAAAATAGTTGTTTCATATATATTACAAATATATAAGCACCCCCACGCAGACTTGTTCATACTGTTTTCATAGCTTTCATTGAGTTCTACATGCAAAGGGCCTTTCTAAGGGCTTTACATCAATTTGCTCATATAATGTTTAGTAGTAGGTACTATTATCATCTCCATTTTGCAGTTAAGGGAACTGAAGCTTGGAAAGGTTGCCTTGGGTTAATAATAAGAAGTGGCAGAGCTGGGATTCTAACTCAGGCATCTGGCTCCAGAGCACTTACCCCAAGCAAGTACTATCCTTACACTAATTCTACGCTATTAGCACACAGATGCTGTCAATTGCTTAATTTTGGAGTCTCATGAATTTTTGGTGTCATTTTTATTATACTTGAGTAATAATTACCCAACTGGCAAACTAACTTGGGCTGAAAGAGGTGACCCACTTCCCAAATTCTGTACAACATCTGAGAATCATATTCTGTGTTGGAATATAGCCAGCTCTCTCTTTACTTGTGACGGGGCCAGTCACATCTCTCTAACCTCATTAGCATCTTGCTGATTCACTTACCAGATCAGATGTAACTCATGTTTTGTAAGCTCTAAAACCATCCTTCTGAAATACTGCACAGCTTCTTAATTTGCTATGGCACTATGAAAATATTTTGCATCGGATATAATTCTAATAGAAGTTTGTGGCAGCTCTTTCAGGAGGAAAAATCTAAGTTTCCTCTTATGTAACAGAATAAAAAGTATTTCGATTTTATCAGATAATTATTTCTATAAATTTTAAGAGTAAAACTAGGAACTAAATATAATCTCATGGAATTTATTTCTTTTAATTGAAGATAATTTGGGAAGGTACTTTCCCCTTGATTAGATTAGCAAAATAGAACTACTCTGGACTTTTTTTTTTTTTTTTTTTTTTATAATTTGTAGAGACAGTCTCTCTGTGTTGCCCAGGCTGGTCTCGAACTCCTGGGCTCAAGTGATCCTTCCACCTCAGGCTCTCAAAGTGCTCAAATTACAGGTGTGAGCCACCAGGCCCTGCCCATTCTGGACTTCAATCTATCTAACAATAATTTTATCATAACAATTTAATATCTAAAATAGGAATAACCCAAGAAATTTTACTTTAAAAAGTAAACAATATATACATTTTAAAATATGAGACCTAACATCTGTTAGCATTCTTAGCTTAATTTAGGTTAAATTGATATCCTATAGTTTCTAAGACAGATCAGAAAAGATACCAAGAATAATCAATGTTTCTCTTAACTGCTGCCCCCTTTCTCAGTTGAAGTGAATGCATGTTGCTAAGGTAATTGATGCGGGTAAGGGAAGGTAAAGATTACCTTGGGTATCTTGCTTCAGAGCCTCTGTATTGTTGGCCTAGGGCAGTGAATCAGAAAGGAGATTAAGAAAAATGAATGCGTGTGCCTTCATTTTGCCAAAATGTTTTAAGATTCAGATAATTTCAATCAACCCATAATTCCCACCACCCCTTAGATGAGGTATTTCATATCCTCACTTATAAAAAAGCTTGTCACTGTCCTTGTGTCACTTCTTTCTACTCTGAGTTTCTTTAGATATGGTTTTTAACCAGATTTCTCAGAAACACTAGTGCTTAGGAGGGGTAAGGTACAGTGTGGTAGGGGATAATTGCTCTGGGCCCAGTGGCAATCTAAAGACAGCCTTACCTACCTCAGAAAGCTGGTTAGTAAAGAGATGCAGGAGCATGGACACTCCGGGTATACTTTCACTTAACAATGTGTACCTTTCACCTAATAACTTGTATGACTTTCTGCAACCTATTATACTTCAGTTTACTTATTTGTAAAATGGGCATTATGATAATAGTATCTAACACACGATATTTTGAACATTACATTATTATAAAACATGTATATATGCATGTAGGCATGTCTGTATGTATCGCTCTAGCTACAGAAAGAGACTCTCACATGTGAGCACTTTATAAATGTTTGTTAATATTGTCTCTGGTTTGGGGGCTAAAATTCCTATTCAAATATATTTGGGTAGGTATTTTCATCAAGGGTCTAATTTAATTAAATTTCTATTTTCTTAAATAACCAAGAGTAAGTTTGAAGTTACAGCAGAAATTGCAAAATTAACTTGTAACATTGGATTGAGCAGTAAATTAGTCAAAGTTGCACTATGTATCTCTTACCTCCTCTGCTTTCTTTTTTTTTTTTTTTTTTTTTTTTTTTTTTTTTTTTTTTTTTTGGTTGAGTAGCTGGGACTACAGGCGCCCGCCACTGCGCCCGGCTAATTTTTCTATTTTTAGTAGAGACGGGGTTTCACCATGGTCTCGATCTCTAACCTTGGCTTTTTTTTTTTTTTTTTTTTTTTTTTGAGACGGAGTCTCGCTCTGTCCCCCAGGCTGGAGTGCAGTGGCGCAATCTCGGCTCACTGCAAGCTCCACCTCCCGGGTTCACGCCATTCTCCTGTCTCAGCCTCCCGAGTAGCTGGGACTACAGGCGCCCGCCACTGCGCCCGGCTAATTTTTTCTATTTTTAGTAGAGACGGGGTTTCACCATGGTCTCGATCTCCTAACCTTGTGATCCGCCCGCCTCAGCCTCCCAAAGTGCTGGGATTACAGGCGTGAGCCACCGCGCCCAGCCCTCTGCTTTCTGTAATGAGTAAATCTTACTATTTTGGAATAAGGAGAGCGCATCTATTGTTCTGTTCTATCTGAAAAAAATCACATGCTTTAGACTTCAATACTGAAAATAAATGTAAATACTAAAATAAATTATCTTGTTTGCTATTTAACAAAGCACTTGATCATCAAGTCATTTTCCCCTTTTATAAAATGGAGAAAGTACGTGCAAAATGATCATCTGAATACAAATGAAACCCCAATATAAGTTTGTACTGTCACCATTGGTCAGGTGATCAGACAAAATGCTTTCCAATGGTACTTAGATTATCTAATTTGATTATGTAAATATCAATATGTTTATAGTAACAATTTGCATAATCAAAACTGCAGGATTGTGATTGGTTGCAAAAGCAGTTTCAAAATTATAATTTTTAAAATAATCACAAATAGAAAACTCGGAAGTAATTGTATAATAAACTTCTGTTTTCCTGAGCCATTTGAGAACAAGTTGCCAACCTGCTACCCCGTTACCCTAGAATAGTATGGGGCGTATTTCTTACCAACAAGGACATTTTTCTAAACAGCCACACTACGATCATTAAAATCAAGAAATTACAAAAAAATTAATAAATCACCACAAATACATCAGTACCATTTACTCCTCAGAAGTCCATTTAAATTTCACCAATTGTGCCAATAATGACCTTTCTAACAAAAGGATCCAGCTTAGAATCGCATTACACATTTGTCAGGTTTCTTTAGTTTCCTTCGATGATAACAGCCTCCTCAGTCTTTCTTTGACTATCAAGACCTTGGCATTTTTTGCAATATAAAGGCCAGCTGTTTTGTAGAATGTTTTCAATTTGCATTTGTCCAATGTTCCTTCATGATTAGATTTGAGCTGTGCATCTTTGGCAGGAATATCACAGGAGTGATGCTGTGTTGTTGATCCTCAGGTATCACACAATTTTGATTAATTTCATTACTAAAGAAGCTCACTTTGATCACGGAAATAAGGGAGAGTCTGCCAAACTCTTTCACTGTAAAGTTAGTTTTCCCTTTTGTAATCGATTTTGTTACTGGTACTTCGAAACTATGTTTCTATCCCATTCCTTATCAGCTTTCAATTTATTCATTTTTCTGTAACCAAATGGATTCATGATTTCCTATAGTGTTCAGTGGGTTATAATTCTTCACTATCATTATTATTTATTTGTATGTTTATATTGTCCTTGACTGGGCCATGCAGAGACAACTATCTCTATGGACGTCTCCTCCCCGTCCTTAGGTTCTGACACCTCATGCCAGGCTGCCCACCTAAACCTACCAGATGCCCCTCAACCCACCAGGGCTCAGGCACCCTGTACTAGGCCACCCCACCTTCCCCAGGCTGCAGGAATGCCTACCTTGCTCTGTTCCACCAAATGGCGTTAGGACTAAATTATTCAGAAAGAAGAGTCAGGGGAAGGGGAAGGGAAAAGGGAAAGGAAAAATGAAAAAAGAAGAGAAAAAAAAGCCCAAATTACAATGTTACAATTAATTTATAGTTACAAAACTCTGCATCTTAGAATTAATTTTCTCTCAATTCCTCATTAGGAAAACATCAAGGCAATCTTAGGCAATTTATACCTCTATATGAGCATACTGGTCAGAAATTGCTTTCAAAATTCTTTTAAATAAATTGTAATGCTTGTCTATGAGTGCTTCCTGAGTCTGCAGCAAAGAACATTGAGGGAGGATGTAGTCATGCTAAGGAGAGAAAACTAATGATGGATTTCTGAAAGGATTCTTTCAGAAGCTTTACAAGTATGCAATTTAAAATGTCTTTTCACTAAAGATAAAATAATAGGGCATGGAATAAATCAAAGTTCCTTTTGATTAGGAGGAAAAACATTTCCTTTTAAGGTTATAAAACTGTTATGGTGAAACTTACTTGGGACCTCTGTATTTTCTGCTCTTCAGATGTAAACTTTAACCCTAATCTGACTTCAGTGAAGTATATACTGTTGAAGAAACCTGTCTGCACGCTTTTTGAGAATGTCCAGACTGGAGGGAGCCCAACCAAGTGAACTCAGCCTTCTTAATCCTCCCCCTGACCCCAATGATCTGTAGTGCTGTCTGGCATTCAGACACTTGTACAGCCTTGTGTATCTCTTCTGCTGCTATCTTATATTAATTTTCATGCTTGAAAACAGTGTGTTTCTGCTTTGCTTCATTAACTAGACTGTAAACAATTTGATTATACACACCATCCATTTAATGATCATTTTGTTGTTTTCTTCTCGATATCATCCAAAACAGCAGTAGATGTGTAACTGTAAAGTCAATAAACAAATGAATGAATGAATCAATCAATCAATGAGTCAATCAATTAATTAACTCAACTATGTAGCATTACCTTCAAAAATTTTTTCAACTTGAACAGCTCTTAGGTTTGCATTTTTCAAGAAAAAAAACTCTTGCTTTTAATGATCTCATTTTCACTTGCTAAATAACGAAACTATAACTTGTAAATAAAAAAAATTTTTTCCTTATATTTACAATTTAATGTAAGAAAATCATCCTGAAATTCTTAGGCAATTAATACTTCTATTTGCATACATTGGTCAGAAATTGCTAAAGCAAATGACAGATTTCTCCTTATTTGTAAAAGTCAAGGAACAATTTTAAGATTTAACATTCCTACTCTGCCCCAAATAAAGTTCTTCAACATCATCAGAAATTTGGTACCATTAATGGAAAAGCATTAACTGATGTCTTGAGGCAAATACATAGTTTCATCAATTAGAGTTTGTTTTTGTATCTTATTTTAGCTATTCTAGTTAACTTTAATTAGGCGTTCACAAAATCTGGAGTATTATTAACATGTAGGTGACAAGCAGAGCATCTCTTCAGAACATAAAATACAGCATTTAGTGTCAGCAAATGCCATTTTGAGAGAAGACTTTGTTGTTTCTTCTGAAGACTACTAGCTCTTTCCTCACATTTTGAAGGTGCTAACGATGTCCAGTAATGTGGCATCTCTGACAGACACAGTCTGAAGAAGGTGAATATTTAACATAAAAACATTCAAAGTGTAACAACAAATATTTTTCCCTTTTCTTTCTTTTTAAATGTACTATTTTTTTTAATCAGTGACTATTACTAATCACAATTGTACCAGATGATGATGTAACATATAAAACGGAACCTTTCCCCTCTCCCACCCCTTCAGTATCCTGTTTAAGGCCCCTTAAAGGGATCCTGTTTAAGATCCCTTTACTATGGTCTACCAGGCTGGGCATGAGGTGGCTCCCCTCTCTTTTTGAGATCATCTTTTACTACTTCTCTATTTATTCACTGTGTTCTAGCCCTGCTGGCCTTATGCCTACCCGTGAGACAGCCAAGACAGGCCCTGCCTTGTGCCTTTACTCGTGCTGTTCTCTCTGCTTGGAACTACTGATAGTTCAAAGCATGACTTCATGAATGTGAAGGGAGTACACTCAGCTACCTGCTATTTTACATCATCATCTCCCACCTCAAATAAATACACACTGTAAATCAATGGAGTGTGTTTTCTCCCCAAATGTTACCTTAAAAAAAGTTCCCTCAAACTTCTTCCAACCATATTGCTGCTGTATAGAAAATCTGGAGTCCACTGTTTGGAAGGACAGATCTCCCGGATCTCCAAACAGCTTGCTCCTCATGGTGCAAGGCTCAGGGAAAATGCCAACGCTTTAGAGAGGTATAATGTCACATTCTTCCTCACCACGCAGGTCATCTTCTCCCTACTATGTTCCTTACTATCTTTTATTTTCTTCACAGCACTGTCACCATCTGATATTAATTTGTTTTCATAATTTAAATTTTAATAATCACTTGTATTCCTCCAGTAGAGTGTAAACACTTTGAGAGCAGGAATTGTGTCTGCATCACATATCTCCAGTTCTTAGAATAGTGCCCAATACACAACCATCACACAAAACCTATCTGTTGCATGCATAAAATACCACTACTTTGCTTGACAAAATTGAATATGTGGCCCAATTCTGAACAAGATAACTCCAGCAATTATATTGAGCAATTTTATGACAATTTCAATTGCCCTCTAAACAATATTTCTTCAGCATAGTTAAATGTTGCTCTATTTATATCCAGGTACTTTTAAGTAAAGGCAAATAAGTACGCTGAAAAATGCAAAATTATATTTATTAGAGTTTCAGTGCTGGGACCAATTAGTCAAAAGAGAAAGTCATCAATTTTCCATCTTTTTTCCCAGACCTCTTGAATGGCCTTGCAATTCACCCCATTTATTGTTCAAGCAAGACATTTGGAAATTGTGAGGCCTGGACTGCTCCTTCTCCCTCATCACCTGCACATTCAATGAATCCTATTAATTCTGCTGTCTAAGTATCTTTTCTGGACACTTACAATGGTGCTCACTCTCATCCCATCATGTCTGAACTAACATGTACTCAATATATATTTTGGGATTTGGAATATAGTACTTCATATTCTGGTTTTAAAAACAAAATTTTTCTTTCTTTATAATGTAGATTAAGTTATTCATTCATTTGCAATTTTTAAAAGGAGAATCATTCTGAAAAATAAAGAAAATTCTAGATATCATTGTTAAAAATGTACAGATCTTTAGACAAATAGATGTCTAATATAATTTTCAATTTTTAAGAAAATACATTTTATTCCTTCAAAAGGTCAAAGAATTACTGAGATACATTAGTGTTCAGAGAATTTGACAGATTTTTCTAAATGACATAAAAAATAATTGCAAAAAATTAAAAAATACAATTTAAGCTTTTCTTATTGGTTAGAGATTTGGAAACCGAAGTTGTTTCACTGTGATAATACAATTTGTACTGAACAAAATGTTCTGCTGTTGTTGGGTTGCAATGAAGTGTTTTGAGAGTCATTGTCAAATATTCCTTAAAAAACAATTGAAAAGAGAAAATTACTGGAGGGTACTTTTCACGACAAAGGCAGACTAAATTTTATGTAATATTGAAAAGTATAATAGTAACATGAAGTTAAATGCATTGTGGGAAATTCATATTGTTCAAATGGCATAATCAGGTCATTTTACAGTACTATCTCTTACATATAATTATGATCAACTATCATTTTACTCCAAATGTTCTGCTATTGTACAAAGAAGGCAATTTTGAGATTTCTAGATATTTGTGGTATTTAAAATTATCATTATTTATATTTATTTGCTCTTCTGGCAGATACAAAGAGATGGTTGAAAATTTCTGGTGTGAAGTAAATATAGAAGACAATGAGCTGGTTAAAATACTTTGTAAATTTATATGCAAATAAGTGGAGAAACCTACTAATGCTATTCAATTATTTGTGAAATATACAATGAGGATTTTTTTTAAACTGCTGAACATCCAATAAAGTGATAATTGTCTTATTATGCAGAAAGATGTTAGTATAAGCACACAAAAAGATTAATATTCTTTTTAGCAGTTGATTTTAAAACTGAGTTGATGTACAAAGAAACGCTACAATCTACAAGTTAAGATTTGTTGTGCCATATAATGGAATCTGACAAGGCTGAAAAGATTTCAGTCCTAATGAGTGCTGTATGAATGCTAACAGAAATACCATAGGGAATGACTGTGCTTGCCAGAATTGGATTTGGAAGCAGCAGGAGTAATACATCCTGGCAACCAGGGGCGGCTTATTCTTTTAGGGTCTGAGACTTAAACAGCAATGACAATATAAACGAAGACACTCAACAACATCATACTTTTAGAATCAACACATTTTGCCATTTGGCCTTTCAGGGTAACTGGTTCTTTTACTCTGTCCCTGAGAACACAGTGTTCTTTAACACTTCCTTCTTGAACCTCGGCCTTCTGGCTTCCTTCCCCTCCAGTCTAATCATCTTATTGTGAGGTCCACCACCCTGGTCCCCCTCTATGCATATTCTCATTCATCATTTAACCCTGCTGACCACTACTTCCTTCTGGGTTGCTTAGACACCACATTTTCCCCTTCCCTTCTTTGTTTCTCTGGGCATTCAGTCCGGGTTTCCTCAGCTGAGTCTTTTCAGTTTTACTACAAACCTCCCGAGTTTCCCTCTAACCGCAGCTGATTCCACTGACCTCCTCAGGCAACCTCTACCCAATGGCATTTCTTAGGTTCCCATCTTCACATTCCAGTATTCACCATTAATGACCATTCATTGAGTGCTTAATAAGTGCCAGGCAGTTTTACAAAGAGCTTTACATAAATAATCCCATTTATAGTCTCACAAGAACCCAATGAGATAGGTATGATCAATGCCATTTTTTTTTTTTTAATTTTTGGAAGGATGAGAAAACCAAGTCTCAGAAAGGTTGAGTATCTTACCCAATTTCTCATGGTTAATAACTGTTTGGATTTGAATTTAATTCAGCCTGAGTCTTAAATATTATAGAATATAGGCCCCCAATTTGTTAAGCATTCATATGACAAGACTTACTCTGACCTTATGGCATGACTGCCTGTTTCTGCTTCATTCATACACTTAGTTTCCATTTTAAACTACCCATCTGGTAACTGGGTTCTTCTGTATCTGAATTGCTGCATTGTAACCCAATTACTTCTATTCCTGTTGGCCTGGCAATGAGAGACCAGTGAAAATCAGGCAGGATAAGGACACAAAAAGTCTAGTCTTTCTTTGTACCTTCCAGGCATTTGATGTGCAGAGTCCTATCCCATAATGAAAGTCCAGGGTCTGGAGACCCAGTTATAAACTGATAGATAGCAGCTTGCAAAACAACCCAGTAAAGTGGACAGACGACCTACCTGCTGTAAGACTGACTGGTCAAGCTGGGGAGAGGTTGATGCTGGACTCTTAAAAGGAACCAGTCCAATCTCAGCCAAAGTGTCACCACTGAGCTCTGACAGATATGTGCCATGGATTGTGTCACAACACCCTCTTTCTGACCTTCCAGAGCTTTCTCATGATCTAGTCTGATTGTGTCTCATGAGTCAGCTTTCTCCTTTGGTGTGCTGCCTTGGCCTTGGCCTTAGTCACCCTACTGGCTAATTCCCTCTGTCTGGTTTCCTCTTGACCCATCACTCTGGGTTAGCTGCATCCTTGACTTTGCTTTTCCAGCTCCGCCCCTGACTGTCTACCCTCACAAGTACCATCAGTTAATTTGCTTGCACTTGTGAACATCCATATCACTGGACCTTGTGCTTGCCTTGCCCTCCCTGTATCTTCCTTACCCATGGACAACTGCTTTAACCCTCAGCCTCCCTCAGACTATTCTCCACTCTGAGGTCCTAGAAAAGCACAGGCCTTCTTTACTAGCCCTTGAAATTGGTGTATTTGCGAAGATCTTACCTTTCACTCTCGACCTTTGCACAAATCTCCTTAGGGACTCATCACTTCTCATGCTTTTCTCATTACTTTCTCATCACTTTCATATATATCCTGTCTTGAGTGTCTCTCTTGCTCTGAGTCTTGCCACTTTACTCAAACGGGATTCCTGGGCACAGTTCTCTCTCACTACAGCTTCTGACTAAAGGGAAAAAAAAAATCACGTTATCAGTTCTAAATTCTCAATTGTACTCATTATTTTCTTTCTTTAAAATCATCTTTATTGAGGGATAATGTAGATACAATAAAATGCAGTCTCATTAAAAATACAGTTTGATGAGCACTGACAAATGTAGGTAGACACCTGTAACAGTCACTGCAGCCATAGTACGAAATGTGTCCATCACCCCAGGAATTCCCTTATGTAGTTTTGCAGTCAGTCCAACATCTGCCCTGCCCCCACAGTTTATTAATCTACTCTCTTGATCTATTTTCTATCAGTATTTGTTAGTTTTTCCTGTCTAGAATTTTTTTTTATAATAACAACAATATACAGTGTACTCATTCTCATTAGTGTTTGGCTCCTCTTTCTAGCATAGATTCATCCATGTTGTGTGTGTCAATAGATTGCTCCTTTTTGTTGCAAATAGCATTCCATTGTAAAGATCTATACAATTTGTTTTTCCACTCATCTGTTGATGGATATTTGAGTTATTTCCAGTTTTGGCTATTCTGATTCTTTTTTTAATATTTAACTTTTTATTAAAAATGAACTTTTAAAGGGTTTTTGAGATAATTGTAGATTCACATGCAATTGAAAGGAATAATATAGATTCTATGTACCTTTTACATAGTTTCCCCTAAAGTTAACATCTTGCTAAACTATAATAAAATATCACAAACAGGATACTGACATTGATAAAGTCAAGATACATTTCTCTCACCCCAAGAATCCCTCATACTGTCACTGTATCGTTGTATCTACTTTCCACCTTCTCCCCCTCCTTTAATACCTAGAAACCACTAATCTGTTCTCCATATCTATAACTTTCTCATCTCAATAATATTACATGAATAGAATATAGGTTGAACATCCCAAATCTGAAAATACAAACTCTGAAATTCTCCCAAATCTGAACTTTTTGAGCACAAACATGATGTTCAAAAAAAGATCTCATTAGAACATTTCAGATTCCAAATTTTTGGATTTGGGATGCTCACCTGGTAAGTATAATGCAACTATTTCAAAATGTGAAAAAATGTGAAATTTGAAACACTTCAGTTGCCAAACATTTCAGATAAAGAATACACAATTTGTAATACAGTATGCATTCTTCTGAGATTTTTTTTCCCCATTCAGATTAATTCTCTGGAGATTCATTCAGGTCATTGGCTAGTATCAATAGTTCATTTATTTTAAGTGAAGTGGCTTATGCTTGTAATCCCAGCAGTTTGGGAGATTGAGGCAGATGGATTACTTGAGTTCAGGGGTTTGAGACAGCCAGGGCAACACAGTGAGACCTCATCTTTAAAAAGTAAATTTAAAAAATTTATTACAAAATATGTATTAAAAATAAGTAAAATAGTTTATTTTTATTGTTGAATAGAATCCCATGATACAGTTGTACCACACTTTATTTAACCAATCACTCACTGAAAGATACCTGTGTTATTTCCAGTTTTTGGCTATTACAAATAAAGCTTATAGAAACATTTTCGTACAGGTGTTTGTGTGAATATGGGTTTTCATTTCTCTGGAATAAATGTCTAGAGAGAATTTATAGGTCATAAGGTGACTTCACATTTAGTTTAAAAAAAAAACTCTTTCAGAGTGGTAGTACCATTTTACATGTCCATGATCAATGCATGAGTGATCTAGTTTCACCACATCCTCGCTAGTATTTGGTGGTGTCACTATTTTTTATTGCAGTCATTTTGATAGATGTGTAGTGCTATCTCATTGTGGTTTTAATTTGTAGGTAATGATAAATCATATTTATTGTGTTCATTTGCCATCTGTATATCACTATGTCTTTTTCTCACTTTCTACTTGAGTTATGTTCTTATTGATTTTTGAGAGTTTTAGAAATATTCTCGAGTAAGAGCTTAAATTGTTGATTTGAGTCTTTTCCTCTTTTCTAATTAAGAATTTAGTTTTATAAATTCGCTTCTCAGCACTGGTTTAGCACTGCTTTTGCCACTGAAAGTAGGATTCTGGGTTAGTGGTTTTATTTTTCTTTCAGCACTTGAAAAACATTGTGCCACTTCCCTCTGGCCCTATGGTTTTTAATGACAAACAGACCATCTTTCAAATTGCTTTCCCCTATAGTTTAGGTGGTGTTTCTCTTTTGCTGCTTTCCACATTTTTTATGTTTAGTTTTCAAAAGATCACTACAATGAGTCTTGGTGTAGATCTCCTTCTGCTTCTTCTTTTCGATGTTCTCTTGGGTTTCTGAATCTACAGATTTATGTCTTTTGCCAAATTTTTGAAGTTTTTGGCCATTATTTCTTCAAGTACTTTTTTAGCCCTACCCTCTTTCTCTTCTTCCGGAATTCCAACAGCATGCATGTTAGTTCCTTTGTTAGAATCCCACAGGTCCTTGAGGCTTTGTTCATTTCTTTTTCTAACTTGTTTTCATATTGGGTAGTTTCATTGTCCTACTTTCATGTTCACTGATTGTTTCCTTTGTACTGCTACTCTGCTGTTGAGTCCATCTACTGAGAAGTTTGATTTTTTTTTTTTTTTTTTTGAGGCAGAGTCTTGCTCTATTGCCAGGCTAGAGTGCAGTGGCATGATCTCGGCCTCCTGTAATCTCTGACTTCCTGGTTCAAGTGATTCTCCTGCTTCAGCCTCCCAAGTAGCTGGGATTACAGGCATGTGCCACCACGCCCAGCTAATTTTTGTATTTTTACAAAATTTAGAGACAGGGTTTCAGGGTTTCACCATGTTGCCCAGGATGGTCTCGATCTCCTGACCTAGTGATATGCCACCTCAGCCTCCCAAAGTACTGGGATTATAGGCGTGAGCCACCACACCCAGCCAAGTTTGACTTTTAAAAAATTTTGGTTATTGTATTTTTCACTTCTAAAATTTCCATTTGTTTCTTCTTTATATATTCTTTTACTGAGATTTTCTACTTCTTTGCTGAAACTGTTTTTTCATCTGTTTCAAGTGTGTTTGCAATTGTTCATTGAAATATTTCTATGATAGATGCATTAAAATATTTGTCAGATAATTCTAACACCCCTGTTATCTTGATGTTGGCATCAGTTGATTGTCTTTTTTTCATTTACTTTGAAATCTTCCTGGTTTTTGGTATGATGTATGATTTTCTATTGAATCCAAAACACTTTGGATATTCTGTTTTAAGAATCTGAGTCTTACTTAAACTCTGTTTTAGCCAACTTCCTTTGACACTGCTCTAGCAGAAAAAAAAGAGAGGGTGACACCTCATTACTCCTAGGTGGGAGCCATAGTTTAAGTTCTCTACTCAGCCTCTTTGACACCCACTAGGAGGGCTCCTTATTACTGGTGGTAGGGATGAAAGTTCCAACTCCCTAGCGGGCCTCCACTGATTCTTCACTAGCTGAAATGGCTTGGACTGTCTTGTTACTATTCCCCCTCAGGCCATCTACTGACATCGCAGGAGAGGCCTCTTTCCCACCGTGGGGTAGGAGAAGTCAGGACTCTCTGCTAGCTTTCCACTGATGCTGAAGAGAAAGGTGGGGGTGGGAGGTTAGGCTTTTACAGCCCAACAGGCATTAAAATCCAAAGTTTCTACTTGTCCTTTTCTGATACTACCCTGCAGCAGTCTTAGGCACCTCATTATAGACCGGTGAGGGTGGAAATCCAGGATCCCCACTTGACCTCTGGGAACAGGGGGTAACATTTCTTTCTGAGTTGTTTGGCTGGAGTAGAGCAGTTATTGAAAAGTTTCCTGTTTGATATGCTGCTCCTTCCCAGTTCCTTTGGTTCAAAAGCAGGTGTTGTTGGGGCTTTTTCTGTCTGTGCCCATTGGCATGTTCAGGTTGCTGGTTTCTTCAGTTTCAAGTCTGAGATTTATGAGGCAAAAAGAAAACTCACGGAACTTACCATCATGCCATTCCTTAGCTCTTGAGATCCATAATTGATTTACTTTCTTCTTTCCATCAGCCAGAATCTTCTTGTGTTCATTTCATATAATGTTGAGGGGTTTTAGTTGTACTTAGTAGCAGATACGGGGAAAAGTATGTCTAATCCATCTTCCCAGAAGTAGACGTTTATCTTTCATTCTTTTCTGACTTGTCTATAGGACATTTCCTTTTTGGAAATGGGCCCCATCATCTCTTCAAGCTTAACGTGTCCATTTATGGAAATACAAAGAGACCCATGCCTTGACCCTTACCTGAGCCACACCCTGGGTTATGGAGAGAAGATTACAAGAATAATATGTTTGGGTACTCTGAGCCCTTTCTCCGACATGTGATCCAGGGAGACAGAAAACCTCCAAAATAGAAATGACTGTGTGGGATCTAAGGGGACGTTCTAGGAGAACTCACAGGGTACCCCATGCCCATCTCATGCCCCAACAAAAAACTGCTGTTAGCCTAAGAGGGGTATGGAGTCCACCCAGCAGAAATGAAGGGATTTCAGTGAATAGCCACAGGGGTGACTAAGCAGTACACTGCATAGAGATAGTCCACCTCACATGCTGCCAGCACTGAGAAATGACAATGTCGACCAGCATCCCTCATTTCAACAACTTCACCCTGTTATGGACTCCAGTCACAACTTCAAGGAGAAGGGCAGGGGAATTGAATAAAGTGAAATTAAATTTCTGCTAGTTTAGTAGAAAAGAGGCTCAAAATACTTAAGCTGAGCTATGAAAAATAGAGCGATATTTCTTACACAGGGGCTGGAGAGGCTCATACACTATTTTCATGCTTTTTAAATATTCTCCTGCTCCCCTTTCCAGCACCCTATTTCTTGAAGAGTCACTACAATTATTCTTGATTCTCCAGGTAGAACCTCAGTTATCCTAGAATTTTCCTTTCCTTTTCTCCATTGTATGTAGACACCACTGCTAATTATTCCTCCTTAAAAATATTTTGTGTTTCTGCCTCTTACTTTACCACCACCATCATTTTTTGAATGTCATGCTTAGAGCATCAGTGTCTTAGCAGGTCTCCTTGTTCCCCTTGCCAGATCTCCAAACTGTCATT